TCATGGAGGAACTTCTTCTTCCCGTTATAGCTCAACTCCGGGGGTACCACATTGGTAACCAAATAGTTGACGTAATCCGCATACCAAGGGGCCGCGTTCTTGATCTCCAAAGATAAGATGTGTTCCTCCCTTAGTGAATCATCAATTGGGATAGCTTCGGGTATCTCCAATCTTGATACATGATCCGCCACGGTATTCTCCGTTCCTTTCCTATCACGGATCTCTAAATCAAACTCTTGCAAAATCAACACCCATCGGATCAACCTTGGTTTAGCATCCTTCTTCGTGAGCAAGTACCTCAATGCGGCGTGATCCATGTAGACGATAACTTTAGAACCCACCAAGTACGATCTGAATTTTTCGAAGGCAAATACTACAGCAAGGAGCTCTTTCTCCGTAGTGGAGTAGTTCATTTTAGCGTCGTCGAGCGTCCGACTTGCGTAGTATATGGCATAATGCTTCCCATCTTTCTTTTGTCCCAATATGGCTCCGACCGCAAAGTCACTAGCATCACACATTAACTCAAAAGCAACACTCCCATCCGGGGGTTGGATAATCGCAGGTGATACTAGTGCCTTTTTCAATATTCCGAATGCTTTGTGGCACTCTTCATTGAACTCAAATGGGACGTCTTTGCCCAAAAGTGCAGTCAAAGGTCTCACTATCTTCGAAAAATCTTTGATGAATCTCCTGTAAAATCCGGCGTGACCTAAAAGCTTCGTATCCCTTTAACATTGGTCGGTGGTGGCAGCTTCTCGATTACTTCTACCTTCGCTCTATCCACTTCTATCCCCTTGTCCGAAATTCGATGAACAAATACAATGCCCTCTCGCACCATGAAGTGGCATTTCTCCCAATTCAAAACCAAATTCGCCTTAAGGCACTTGTCTAACACTCGATGAAGATTGGTTAAACACGTATCAAAGGAGGGTCCATGGACGGAAAAGTCGTCCATGAACACCTCCATAATATCTTCAATGATATCGGAGAAAATAACCATCATGCATCTTTGAAAAGTTGCGGGTGCATTGCATAGTCCAAATGGCATGCGTCTATATGCAAATGTGTCGTAAGGGCATGTGAATGTTGTTTTCTCTTGGTCACTCAGATGGATAGGTATTTGGAAGAAACCGGAGTAACCATCGAGAAAACAAAAATAAGAATGCAATGCAAGTCTTTCTAGCATTTGATCAATGAATGGAAGGGGGAAATGATCCTTACGGGTGTTTGTGTTAAGTTTTCGATAATCAATGCTCATTCTCCATCCCGTAACAGTTCTAGTCGGTATGAGTTCATTGTTTTCATTACGAACGACTGTGATTCCGCTCGTTTTGACTGGAGAATGATCGATTTTGCTCAGACTTTTCGAGCGGGCCGTCTGTAATGTCGAGCGGTCGCTCGTTTCGTCGGATTCTGATTCCAAATTTCTCAGACTTTTCGGGCAGGCCGCTTGTAATGTCGAGCGGTCGCTCGTTTCGTCGGATTTTGATTCTGAATTTCTCAGACTTTTCGGGCGGGCCGCCTGTAATGTCGAGCGGTCGGTCGATTCCTCCTGAGTTTCTTCAAATTTCGGCGATTTCGAGCGGGTCACCCGAAAATCTGAACGGGTCGCCCGAAATATTGTAGAAACTTTATTTTCGGTTTCTCGACCATCTAGTGTCTCTTCCCAATTGTTATATAAACTTGCTTCTACAGCCATTAGAGATACTTCCAGCGGGTCTCCATCACGAAATTCTCCGATCACTTCTTCCGCCATTGCTTCAAGTATATTCGCATAGCATATCGTATCATTGGTTGAGGGTTGCTTCAAATTCTGATCAAGTGTGAATTCAACTGTTTCATCTCCGATCTTCATCGTTAATCTACCAACTCGGACATGAATCACGACATCCGCTGTGCTAAAGAATGGTCGGCCAAAAATGATCGGGACCTTGGAATCTTCATCTATATCTAGGACCACAAAATCCACCGGTACATAGAATCCACCAATCTTGAGAGGTACGTCTTCTAAAATGTCTGTTGGATATTTGATGGATCGGTCTACTAGTTGTAAGGCCATCCTCGTGGGTTTCAAGTCGCCTATGTTCAACTTCTTGTAAATGGAAAATGGCATCAAACTTACGCTAGCCCCGAGATCCGCATAATGCTTTATCAATCTCAATATTCCCCAACTTGCATGGAATAGAGAAACTCCCCGGATCAAACATCTTCGGGGGTAGTTCATGCTTTGTGATGGCGGCACTAATCTCGGTGCTCAATGCTACGGTCTCCTTTTCAACTACCCGCTTCTTCGTCAAAATAGTCGTGAGGAACTTCGCATATGAGGGCATTTGACGAATTGCCTCATGGAAAGGCATTGTAATCTCCATCTTCTTCAGCATTTCCGCAAATTTTCTGAATTGGTTGTCCTCATTAAATTTCTTTAAACGAGAAGGAAAGGGTATCGGGGGTACCTTAGGCGGAGGCAGAATGTAGACCAGTTCTTTCTCCTGTTCTTGCACCTTAGGAGTGTCTTCCTCTACAGCCTTGTCTTTTTCCTCTCTTGTTAGCCTTGGAGGTGGTGTCTTCTCAACCATCGGAGGGGAAATCTCCGGAAGTTGTCTTCCACTCCTTAGCTCCACTGCATTGATATGCTCCCGAGGGTTCATTTCTGATGAGGACATCGGAGCAGCCAACGGCTTGGAGGCGGATGAGGATGGGAGCTTAACGGAAGGAGCTCTCCGGGATGATGAAGACTCGACCTCTCAGGTGCCGGGAGAAGTTCCGAATGATCAACACGTTACACGATCATTCGAAGCCGCAAGAACGTGAAGTGATGTGCACCACGCGATGGCTCAACGAGCAAGCCATAGAACCGAGCCTCCCCTCACTCGTGCTAGAGCTCGAGCCCTTCGTGTCACGCTAACCAAGGCTGTCACTCAAAGTTCTTCACGGATTCCGGGTTCACGACAACAATGATGCATCATTATTCGGACGAGAAGTGACCCGGAACAATTTCAGCATTAAGTCCAAATTGCCTAAGGCCTAGAACACGACCTTAATCAATTTTCGGTCCAAGAAGAAGGCCCACGGTCCAGCCCATCAGCAGCCCAAAGGAAGGAGCTTTCCCAACAGCTCTTTTCTACCACCTACTCACCATTAATGCACGTGGGCTGCATGTTGTTTAGCATTTATGTCTTTGTTGACAATTGTTGTTATTTAAACTCCTTTCTTTTCATTTTGTGACCAGCTTTTCATCAATCAAAAATTGTAGACCTTTGTTCTCTTTCTCCACTCAAAGTGTCGAGATTATCTTTGTGTCTTGGTGTGTCCGAGGCCTCTTCTCTTCGGTGTGTCCGAGAGACTCCTTCGGTGTGTCCGAGAAGATTGCGTCCGGTGTGTCCGACGCGCCCATATCCTTCGATTACCACCTCATCCCTTTTGAAACATTTCTGAATTCGAGCGCCACTTTCGTGAGCCGGTGATTGGAATCGTTTCACCATAAATCCACTTCGATTACCCCTTGTTCCTCTGTGAATTCGAGAGCCACTTCCGTGAGCCGATGATTGCGGTTGAACTCCCTTGCCCCATCCTCCTCGTGCGTACATCAACATGAGTGCATCGATTGATGATTCGGGTCTAAGTTTGGGTCGGACATCGCATCAAAAGAAAAAAAAAGAAGGAGAAAAGAAAGAAAAGAAAAGAGAGATGAGAAAAACGATGTCCTTCAACTTCAACGTCCTAGAAACACGAGGTGCTAGCGTTCAATAGAGAAACTCCACAGAAAGGTAAAAATCCAGGAAAGAAGTAGAACTAAGATCGAAAAGGCTAAAGTTGAGATAAGGATAGGTTTGGAAATAGGCTTGGTGAGTTGTAGAGATTCTAACGGGTTCTAGATGGCAATAAAAATCCCATGGCTAGGTAGATTAGTCTTTGGTAGGAAGATCATAGTAGACCGGTTTGGGTACGATTCTCGGGAAACTAGTATTGGATGGATGTTTTGCTTTTGAGTCTCACGATGATGCTATTTGATGTTCGTCATTCTCCGTGTTGCATATTTTATTCCTTCGTTCTTTACTCGAGGACGAGCAAAGGTTTAAGTCTGGGGGGATTTGATAACTCCTAATTCTCTCTATATTTCCAGGACGTCTTTATAGGATTTAGACGAGGATTATATTCATTTGTAGACATTATAGGCGTGTTAGGCCACGAAACTCGGTTTGGTTGTGTTTTTATAGGATTACAGGTCTCGGACACGATTAGGACCAAAGCGGGAGCAATCTGGAGCTAAAGGGATGAAATACATCAAGAACTTCCCGTCTTGACTCGGCCAGAGTCAAACACGGAAATTGGGCCGAGTCAACATGCTGAAAATGGCCCAATTCAAGCATGTTACGAAGAGACCGAGTCAGAACGTCCGAGTTAGAATACCCCGAGTCAACATGCCCAAGTCAGAAAGCCCGAGTCAGAAGATTGTGCTGGGCCGAATTTTAAAGAGTCCCGTTTTGACTCGGTCGAGTCAGAGTACTGACTCGGTCTGAGTCAAAACCCAGAAAAAACCCAGATTCAAATTTTCAGAATTTGAACGGGAGTGGGACTTTGGGAGCACCGGCTATGGTTTATAAAAAGTGCCTACAGACGTCCAAGAAGAGCAGACAAACTTTATACAGACTTTGGAGAGTTTTGGTGAGAGAAATAGGAGTTTTACGGGATTTCGGGAAGAAGAAGGAGAGTTAGAACGTGAAGATCGCTTGCTGTCGACATGAGTCTTTCTTCTCCTTCCTTTGTTTCTGTTTCCGGTTTTATTCTGTGTTTTTCCATGAACCGTGAGTAGATCCACGGCTGTGGGTTAGGGATTCGTTTGTGTTTTGGGTATGTTTGAACCCTAACTTGGTTGCGATTTGGATTTGTTTCGGTTTTATCGATTTGCGCATTATTCAATTGGTGTTTGCTGACCCCTTGGCCAATTGTTTTAGATTCTGAACTACATAGGAATATGGGTTTAGTTTCGGATTCTCATGGCACACTTTCTAGAGGGCTTGAAAGACCGAATCGCTAGAAAGGTAAACCCACACGTATATCATGACTTGAGACATCTTGTGCATACGACAATTCAAGTAGAGCGACAAATGAACAAGAAACCGTCAAAGAATGGGTGCCAACGAATGCCAACGCCAACGCTTATACACAGAAACTTTTCCGATATCGGAGACCCAATCAAGGCGCAAAATCTTGATGCTAGAAAGGACGAAACTATCTTATATACAAGAGAAGTCCACACACGAGGTAACAAAACATCTTCCTCGTGTACTCATTTTACTTGTGAGGTTTTGTGTTCGGAGTGTAGGAACCAAAGTCATTTACCCAATGGAAGTTCCACCCGACAAGAGGTGAGCATCAAGGATAACGGGGTATATAACTCAATCGCGATGGCTGTGGGGAGACACCTTGAGGAAGATTTCGAAGCTCCATCCGACAAGGAGAACAAGAGCGTGACCGAAAAGAAAGAAACGGTCGAGAACCCTGGTTTTGTGAGGGAAACAAAACCCAAAAGTTTGGAAAATGTGAATGAAGAGCGGCAAAATGCCAAGGATGAATGCATACGAGCACAAACACCTACACGCAACAACCTTGTCAAAAACAAAGACCAAGGCAAGGCGACCGATCTTAATGCCCGAGAGGAGGAAACCATCGTGATTCTAAAAGGAGTCACCTCATTAGGTAACGAAACGTTTTCCTCATGTACTAATCAAACTCGTGAGGGCATGTATCACATGTGTAGGAACCAATGTCACGTGGCATGTCATTGTCCCAACCAACGAAAGAATCTCATCAAGGATGGCGGGACATACAAGGCTGATGTAAGGAACCTTGAAGATGAATCCGATGTTACATCCAAAGCGGTAACCGAACATGTAACCAAAGAAAAAGAAACGATTAAGGATTTCGATCTCGTGCTCAATGAAGTACTCAAAAGTGTGATCAATGTCGATGAAGAGCTACATGGCATCAGAATAGATGCTTTAGAAGTTGTTACACGAAATGAGGATTTAAAAATCCTGATCAACCCATCGACAAAGATAAATGACACCTCCAACAACTGTACTTGGATCATAACTCAAGAACTTGGAGCAAAAACCGGTAAATTTATTCCTATTTTTATTCTTGTTTATGATTCATACTTGGTTGAGAATATATGGGAACATGAAGAAATAATGGCAAAGTTTCAAAAGGAATATTCTTGCGAGCATTTCAAGGAGCACACTAACAAAATTGTTCCCCTAGAAGTTTATCGAAGTTCGCAGGTTCTGAATGTGAAGGAAGTAGGGATTGTTACAAAGAAAGTTTTGACATCTACCGGCCAAATCCCAAAGAGGCCATTCAACGACTTAAGCGAATATATGCAGCTTGCCCACCTTGATACGAGAAGCTTATGCGGTAACATCGTTTTACTCTTTATTCTTGTCTATGATCAAGGAATTGGTACTACATTGCAGATTTCGTACATGGACGACGAGAAGTGTCCGACGAATCCCACATGTGTGCCTCCACGGTTCATCAGTGCTCAAGGAGCCAAATGCGTCTACCATTGCACCATGAACGCCTCAAGGCGTAACACCATCTTAAACCCAAGGACAATCAAGAAGGATGAACCTTTTGAACGAGGAGAAGCGCGAGAACAAAATCTTCATACACTTGGCGAATATCTCGACAAAACCCGCAATCAAGGTATGAAAAATTTGACTTACGTATTTAACGATGCTGACTTGGACCCGTTTGATGTAGGTAAGCATGTTTTGAGGACAAAACCTTCTCAAGGGGGAGGGAATGATGAGGACATCGGAGCTAGCAACTTGGACGAGGACGGGAGCTTAACGGAAAGAGCTCTAGAAGATGTTCAAGACTTGACCCATCAGGCGTCAAGACTCTTGCCGGATGATCATAACGTCACAAGATCATTCGAAGCCGCGGGAACGAGATTTGACGTGCACAACGCGAAGGCTCCCCGAGCAAGCCATAGACC